GGACATGGGAAGGATGGCAGGTCATTTGTCCTGGATTCCATCATATGGGTCACATTACAAGATTCTCTCTGCCTCAGTGTCTGAGATTATACTTATGGCAATTATGCTAATTTATATAGAAACGTTATGTATGAATAGAGCAGATTTTATCAAACGTCACATTATGAGCTTCACTGAAAGGATTCCATGCAGGGGCAAACAACGTTCAACTTTTACTCTGAGTGCATTTATATGCACTTAATAATCTGACCATTAATGGATTTCTGCAGTTATCTGATTATTTAAGTGGTCTTTTAAACCACACTCTGATTCTTAGATTGGATTAAGGCCTATTGGATAAAGAGGCTGGATTTGAGCTCAGTAATGGGTTTTTTGATGCATGTGAACTCTTACTCTGATTTCTTTCGTTTCTCTCAGTCTGCGCCTGTGTGAAAAAACAGACACCCGCAAGATCCAGCAAAACACTTTTGCAGCGACACCGAAACCAAATGCATTTGACGAAATTAAGCATTTAAATGTTCTTCATCTTCTAGATGTTTTATACTCATATTTTGTGGTAAAGTGGCTCGATGTTTAAATAAAACAGCACAAAGTTTGAGTTTTACATTATGTTTACGGCACGTCTTCATCTCTGACTTTATTGGCTGGTTGTAAAGCAGAAATCTGATTACTGCCTGACTCATGTAGAACCAGAGTTTCCCCATTATCTGATTACTCAAGAGCATGTAAACACGCTGAACCAGTTACTGCAGTTGTCAGATTATTAAGTGCGTGTAAAAGTATTAGCTTGGGGAAAAAATCACATTTACTAAGTTTTTCCCTTTAATCCAAATGTAATCAGCGAAAATATATTTGGTGTCTGAAGTTTGCTTATGCAGTTTTAACACTATGAAATAAGGCTAATGTAGCTAACTGGAAGCATATGTGCATATTATTGTGCAAACTCTTTGCATGATGCTAATTGTTTAGCTATTCTTTAGTTTTGTGCTCAAGCTACAAGGCTAACAAGGCTAACAAGCAATGATAGGCCCTCACGGAAGTCAATAAACAGAAGTGCGTAAACTCTTGGTAAAACAAGTTCTGCTATCACGTGATGGACTTATTGTTAATCTCAGAAACGCTGGCGTTCGTATCACTTCAGCCACCACAGAAAGGTGTGTCACTTTATCTTTGTCATAGTTGCCAAGATTGGCATTCGAGGACGTGTCCAGGACTGTTGGAGAACAGAAGACACCACAATGTGGGAGTCCAGACTAAATAAAGGATATAAATAGAAAAATTCTTCACAGCTATCAGAGCACAGAAAGATCAGCTAACATCTTCAGAGTGATAAATCGATGGAGGTGAAACTAACTGTAACCAAAGCGCTAGATTAGCCATGTTAGCTGGAGATGTTGAAGCAGCTTGTTACCAATGAACTAGTTGGCAAAAAGCTAAAGATGCACACATGCCAGCAGGGGGCGCGCCAGGTCGTTCTGGTCTATAGCTCCACTGTAGATGTTTTACACAAACACCAACTCCAGTGAACGAACATCTACTCCCCGCTGAGCTCTCGCTCTCTCAGATACTGACAGCTTTAAGGAACTGAAATGAAAACTGTTCCTCTGAAAGCGGCTGCAGCAGCAACTTTAAAGCACAAACTGCACGTTAACGTTAGTCAAAGGAAAGTTTATTCCTTTGTTAACCACACAAACACATTTTTCCTCTGACAAACCACTGAAACTGAGATAAGGTTGTTTTTGCTTCAGACTCAAACACTTGAGTGAGCTGTACACTCTGTACTCATCCTCTTTGTTATGGTCGTTGCTATAGCGGAAAAATCGTTATCCTGCAGAAAAATCGTGGAAATGTGAAAAGGGCCTATTAGCACTCTTTTCGTGTTGCTAATTGTTCAGCTATTTGTTATTTGTGTACAGAGTTTGCTCTGTTTTGCTTCAGCTATGAAGCTAATGTAGTTAACAAGTAATGAAAGCTTTGTACACCAATTAGCGCTGTTTGCACGATGCTAATTATTTAGCTATTTCTCATATGTGTCCAACGTTTGCTTTCTTTAGCTTTGTGCTTGAGCTACAAGGCTAATGTAGGTAACAAACTGCTTTATTTAATTTAATTCAATTCAATTCTATTCTATTCAATTTGGTACATGTGATGTTTTTCCCCATGCAGTTTGCACTGTGCTAACCTTCCATTCCTTGTTGGCTACATTAGCCTCAAAGCTCCAGTGCAAAACTAAAGAAGCAAACTTTGGACACCAAACATGTTCTGGCAAATGAACTATATTTAGGTAAAGAGGAAAACTATGCAAATTATTTTTTGTATTCCTTCAGCTTCAGCTTTGTTTGGAGGGTCTTGTATTTGTGGCAGATGCTGCATAACATAAATGTGAATCAGGAATTATAACACATTTTCCCTGCATACTGTGATGTATTAGGGAAGGTCTCTGAGCAGCTGAGCATTGAGGCGAAACATGATATTATTGGTGAATATTACTTTTTCCCGCCCACTGGTGCATAGTGACATCATCACAAAATCAGAACAGGTTTTAAAGGTGGGTGACAAGTTGCTACATTTTGATGGAAGATGAAAAGAAAACAAGAATTCTGTCTTTTAAATGATACGATATGATGAATCACGTTTCATATCTTTTACAACTGATATAAAAGATCAGTTTTGATTTTAGGTTGATGTAATTCACATCGAGCCAAACTGAGTGGAAATGCGGCGCACTGATGTTACATAACAGCTGAAGACACTGACCTATCGGCTTTCGTTTCAAAGGACAGAGGTCAGGGACAGGAGTCATCGGCCCTGCGCGGCTTTCTTTGAGTCGATGGAAAACGAGCTCCTTCGAAACCCCCTCACGCACGTTCAGCATCAAATTTAGTGCACATGCATGTGCAGCACTTTCGCACGTCACATATCGCTGTCCAGCCGGCATGTTAGCTGGGTAACACAGGGTTTTGGTTAGATATTCAACAGAGGGAGTTGGAGGTGGGCAATACGAGGATATGGCTGTTGTCGGAAGAAAACCTCGTACCTCCATTTTTGACATTTTTCAGTTTTTGACATAATTTGAAAATACCTGTTACCTTTTACATTTTATGTAAGTTCCATGATGAACGGACTAAAAAAAATGATCCAAAATGACGTGGAAAAATGTCTGGTTCCATTGACTTACATTAAAAGTAAAGTATGTTTTTTCCTTCTCCTGTAAAGTTACCATTTTGGAGATACGAGGTTTTCTTCCGACAACAGCGACATGCTATTTTTATTGTGAGAAATTGCATCATGATACGCTCTTCTGAGTAGATTATGGGTATCATTTCTGATAGCAAGAGGATGGTGAACCACTGTTGGCCCACTGATTGCAAAGCTGGTGGTCCACTGGCATTTTGTTCAGCGTTTTCTGGGCGGCCCACCAGTGTTTAAGCAGAGTAATAGACAAAATTCCACTTATCATCACTCATTTTCCACTTACGGTCCAGTCTACTTATTTTCCTTCCTTCCTTTCTTTAGTTCTAGTTTGTAAATGAGTTTAGTAAATAATTTTATTCTAGCTCAGTGCTCAGTGTATTAAGCCAGCGGACTGACATCTGGGATGATGGGTGTTATGATACTTCTAGAACACTGGACAACTGCATAAGTCATAAAAAGGCTATATAGATCAATTATTGAGAGCCTGTAAACAACGACAGGCAGTGTAGAGTAACTCTATAAACGGCATAGTAACAAGTTGCTGATTGGATGTCGGACCATTATGATGTCATCATATTTATTCAGGTTTTGAACAAACTTTTTTATTTTATTTTTTATTTTTTTATTTCATATTCTATTAGAACTGCATTGTTTCTGCAAACTTTGAATAAAAAAAACAATCATCATATTCATATTTAATCAAATTCATATTTTTATAGTCCTTTTTTCTGTTGGTGCATTTTGTCCATTTCAACTTGTTTCCAAAAAATCTAACAAACAAAAAAGAGCTGCAGTAATCTAACAACTTTGAATATTGTATTAAATATTATCTTGAATATTTAAATATTCTACAACAATATTAAAAAGCTCAAAACATATTTCACCTTCATAACTAAATGTTGCTCTATTGTTGTCTTATTGTTGCTTTTAAGCTTCTCTTGTGCTAAACTCAGCCATGCCGGCTTTATCGCACAGTGCAGAACAATCTTTAGTAAAGAAAATGGTTCTATATAGAACGATGAACACTCAAAGAACCCTTTGCATGATTAAAGGTTCTTTGCATCATGACAGGGTTTTTCAGATTGATGGAAAATGTGCTGTAGATGGTTCTCTATAGAACGTTTTTGAAAAGCGTTCTATATAGCACCAAATAGGGTTTTTCTATTGTTATGATGTCAAGCCTGTATCAATAGAAGAACCCCTTTTGCGGCTATATAGAACCCTTTTCATAAACCCCTTTCAGTTATTTGAATGGTCTTTGAATATTTTGACAAATTTATTGAATGTCTTCAAGTACACACTTGAAAAAGATGGTTCTTCCATCTTTTTTCCATTCCATGGTTCTTTAGTATAAGGAACCCTGCGCCCTGTGTTCTGCATAGTACCATTTGCGTGCTTAAATGGTTCTTTGCATGGTGAAATGGTTCTTCAGATTGATAAAGAATGTGCTGTGTATGGTACTATATAGCACCAAAAAGGGTTCTTCTATTGTTGCAAACATGATATCATACCAATGGCAGAACCCTTTTTGGTGTTATATAGAAACACACAACAATTTCCATGACTCTGAAAAACATTTCACTATGCAAAGAACCATCTTAGCATGCAAATGGTTCTATGTAGAATGCATGGCTGTAAATAGAAACATTCCCTTTACTAAAGAACCCCTGAAAAACCCTTTTTAAAGAGCATTCTGTGTCATATTTTTGACATATCAACCGCCCTTCGCCAGAGTCCATTAAGTGATGGGTGCGATGTCTTTGCTGAAGTCTGTAAGCCGTTATCTGGTGTTGTCCGTCCTGCAGTGTCCAGGCGAAGGGGCCAGAGGGCTGTAAGGAGCTGCTGGAGGCTTTTGAGGCCTGTGTGAAAAGCGCCGCTGCAGCCTCATGAGAGGAAAAATGTCTGTTTCAAAGGTAAGAAGCACTTTTTCATTTGCAATATCTGTTTTAAATCTGCTTTAAAATGAGCTATTTTTATTCGGAACACTTCACTTAACCCTTGTGTGGTGTTCAGGTCTGTGGGACCCATTTCCAATGTTTACCAAAAGATAAAAATGATGTGATTTATTATTATTCCAACCTCAGATTCTTGGTCTTTGCTCATTTTCTGTGAAGAACATATAAAATAACCCATTTTCAGTGTCTTCACTCTGTTCACCCCCCACACATTTATATTACACATGCGGTGTTGGGTGAACCTGCGGGGAGTGTGGAGGTGCTGTGTCCTTCACTCTGTTGTCCTCCTACATGGCCCGCTGTTAGTGTGTGTGTGTCTGTGTGTGTATGAGTTTGTATATGTGTGTGTGTGTGTGTGAGTGTGTGTGTGTGTGTGTATGAGTTTGTATATGTGTGTGTGTGTGTGTGAGGGTGGACAACATGGACAGGCTGCTGACTGGCTACAGCTGCTAAAGGAGAACCCTACACTGACCACTTGTGATATTTTAAACATCTGGTATTTTGACATAAATTATTGTGGCTGCATTGATTTAAAAACAATAATGTGGTGGGTCCAGCAGACCACTGACCACAAACACATCAACACCACACAAGGATTAAGAAGATCATCTAAAAGTATCACACGCAAACTGCTCACTCTGCTGCCCTACAGGAAGGAGTACAGCTAACAACATGGCCATGAATCAAAGTCAAGTTTTGTTTTAATTCTCTTTCATAAAAAAGTAGAAATATAACTTACAGAGCAAATGTGTGCAAATTTAAAATAAAGGAATTGTAATTCTAGTAGAATACTCAGCTAGATTTGTGCTGTTCTTTTGTTAGCATTAGCCTATGTCTACTGTGATCACATGACCTAATCGTTTCACTCCACTGTAATTCTGTGTTATGTCAGACTAGATTTGTTACAGAATTAGATTGGGGGTTTGCTCTGTTTTTATACTCTGATATCTGATTTTTCTGTTGGTATCGGCCCGATATCTTTACTGGATATTGGATTGGTTCCATCTTTATGTGTACGTTTTATAATGCATGTGTATTATGAGGCTTTTTTCTTCTTTAAAATAGATACCTCTTTTCGGTATTTATTCCACTGATTTTTCAAAAATTCTACATAATTAATTGGTTAAGATGCAAACAGAGACATTCAGAGTGGTTTGGTGTGAAACGCTCTGTTCTCGAGAAACTTACAGAGTCAGAACTGTTCACAGTGGTGGTGATAGGAACCAGACGTCCACCTCTAAAAGCTCCCTCACAGAAAGTTACTACATGAAATGGTTATGAATTCACTGTCAGATGAGTGAGACACTGTTTTATGATATTTTTGAGAAGATTGTGGCCTTAAAACTCAAGGTGGAGGGATACATGCAGGGTGTTGTGACATAAAATAGTCCCCAAAAACTTTCCACTGTTTTCCCATCATCAACATTCCATATAAACTCAGAAGACTCGTGTAGGTTCACTGGTGGTTTTGGATAGTAAATAAAATGTCTATATTTGTGTTGTAGTCGTGGCGACCCCTGATTCCTATCACCATATCACCACCACTGTAAAGAAATCTGAACCTGTAAGTTTCTCTGCAAATGCATTTCACATTAAACCACTATGAATGACTTTATTTATATTCACACAACTGAGTTATACAGAAAATTTAAAAAATTGGTGGAATTCCCCTTTAATTTTAATGATGCACAATGTTAGACAGTTCTGAATTTAGCAGCATTCAGTCACCGTGCTTGTGGTCAGTGGAGGGGATGAAAAGGATCTTGTGGACCAGTTAGTCCGAGTCAGCCGTGATCTCATCTGCCAACTTCTTCACTGTTGTGTCACACAGGTGCTCCTTCTTTGGGTCCTCCAATATCCCTGCATTCCTCACTGCATTGTGCGCTGGACTGAACCATTTTAACGACGGCAGAGGGGGTGTCGGTGCCGCAAAGTCCAGGAATTTGCCTCTTCTGAAATGGAGACGTCTTGATGATGTCACTGATAATGCCCATGTCATTTGTAAACATAGCAGCAAGAAGAAGCCACTGTATTTAGATCTGGTCATCAGTTATTTCTCTTTATGTAGGAAAAACAATGTTCAGTTAAGATTTTTCAATAAAATCAGTATAACTGTTAATGCTTCGTATTTTCTTGAATGTAACTTGAGGTTGATTTTCCACTTTTGATGTTTTTTTTGCACATTCAAAGAAGAATTCCACTGATTTTTCAAAGTCATAGTCATGGTTCACTGAGGAGAATCAGATCAGATGTCTTTACAGTGTGTATAAGTATATGTACGTGTATATGTATAAATGTGTAGTATAGATACATACAAATGTATTATACATACATACATACATATGAAATGGTGATAAATCAAAATATGAAAAGAATTGTTCTTTGCTTAACAACGCCACCATGTAGCTCACCACCATCAATACACTTTCAAAATGCAGGTTCTAAAGCCAAAATCTTTTCAAAACTATCATAAAACAGTATCTGAGGGAGCTTTTAGAGGTGGACGTCTGGTTCCTATCACCACCACTGTGAACAATTCTGACTCGGTAAGTTTCTCTAGAACAGAGCGTTTCACACCAAACCACTCCGAACGACTCTGTTTACATCTTAACCAATTAATTTTGCAGAAATGTTGAAAAATCAATTAAATTCCCCTTTAAGCAAGTCATAGTACATGCAGTGCTGTGAATGAATGTAACAAAGATCAGGTTGTTCACAGTTAAGTGTGAGAACTGTGAAGGTGAAGAGATTAAAAAATAATTAATAAATAGTCTAATTAGCTTTGAAACTTTTGAAGGCAAATGAAGCTACTAGTGTCAGAAAACTGGCTATTAATCTAATAGGTTAATAACTATGTTATACAAAACATTTTCATTTTCAGTGAATACATAAACGCACCCATTTATAGTTCACACAACAGCACAGGGAAATGTTATGCTATCGTCATAGCCTATGATTTTTATGCTATTGTGCTGACAAGACCATTTTATATGCAAGTTAAATGGGGTTCTATGCACAATGGAAGCCTTTGGGAAGTCACTTTTCTGCAATATTTTACACTGGAGGCACACATTTAACCAAAAAACACACTAAAATAGCTTTAGAAAAAATATTTTGGAGGAACAACATTCCAAAATACTCACCCTACCAAGCTGCAATGCCTCTAACCCCCATGTGTCAAACACAAGGCCCGTGAGCCAGATCAGGCCTGCGACACAATCCTATCCAACCCCCAAGTATTTTAATTTTCTATTAATATTAGCCTGTGTCACAGTGCGCTGCACTACAGTCCCCAGCATGCACTGCAACATAATGTGTGCTCTGACTCTCCTCCCCCAACAACAATCTATGGGACAGCGGTTACACCTCAGCTCTACACAGTTCAAGCAAATATGTATTTTTAAAAGACTGAATTCCTGGAGACATTTAAATTTTGAATATTTCAAGTATTTGTGTAATATTTCAATATTTTTTGCATATTTTGAATAAACAATGGCCAGTTTGGGTTACAGCACAACATTAATTGAAAATGAAATAAAAACATTTTTGTCTCTGACCCACAGATTTGTTGAGATTTTTTAATATGGCCCCTTTAGTGGTTGAGTTTGACACCCCTGCTCTTACCCAGTGTGTTGAAATCTCCCCTGAGTACTAACCTGTGGTAACTATTCTCTTAAAGCTGCACCAAGTGTGCACCATAAATCTCCCTGAATCAGGTGTCGTATCCAATTCCACCCTCTAGTTAGGACTTCAATCACACGATACCACCAGCACTAGGAGGGCGAAAGCTAGCACAGACTTCCTTTGAGACCTGTGAAATGCCAGCGCATCTTTTCGAGCTGCCACTACCGCAACGTCATTGGACAGCTGAACGCGCTCGGAGGAGAATGCTAACCGTCAGCTAACAGACACCTGTGCTGACTAGCATCACGCTAAGTAATGGGCCGAGACTGGTGGCCCATTTCCCCACCCAGACAGCGAGGCCAATTGTACTCTCTTGGACTTCCGGCCATGGATAGCTGCGAGTCGGATTTCTCTGTGTTTTTTTGGGACCACAACGCACGTCTTTATGTATTAATGTCATACGCTCAAGCTCGATGTTTGGGTCTCAAATGATCTCAAAATCAACATTATACTGATGAAAATATGATGACAGTAGTAGATAATTCGCTCACATCCTCAGAAGAGGCATCCCTCACCAGGTTTAGACTGAGTTCTCTTTGAATTCTCCTGCAATCACCCGGGAAAGGAGACTGAAGCACAACCCATGTTACAAAGTGCTCTTCTACATGCTGCATGCAGTTACACATTTCTACCAGAGAGGTCTCCAAATCCCCAAATCGTACATGGTGCAAAGCAGGCGTGTGAAAGTGGGCACCTTCCAGGCCAAACTGCTGTGGAGATTAGCGTTAGTGTGGAGACTAACGCTCTGAGTTCAGCTCATTAAGGCCTTGCTAATTAGTGTTTAATGAGGCAGGGTGCTGAAGTCTGCAGTGTTTTAGCCCAGGAGGACTGGAGACTGATACATGTGGTGTAGAGCACAGTTTTAGGACATTTTACCAAGAAAACACCTTTAATCGCTTTACAGTCAAAGTTGAAACATAGCGAGTATTAGAGTTTTCAGAAATGTTTATTCATTTTGGTAGGTTTTTTGTTAATTTTAATATAAATGTAAAACTTGTTTGCATAGTTTCCTAGTTCCCAGGGAACATAGAGTGAAATATAAACATGTTTGTGCGAAACTAAACTTGAGTGTTGTATTAAACGTCCAGCAAAGCTTGAATGAAAAATATAAGATATAAATATGATAAAATACAGCTTAGAAGCCACTGATCAGGCCTATCTGAGAACTTTGTGGGCTAATGGGCAGTTTGATTGACAGCTGTCTATCCAACACTCCTAGCCTGCTTCGCCCCTAATACAGAACTAAAATCATTATCCAGTCTTTATGTGATGGTAACTGAATGACCAATGTCACGAACATACAGACATTCAGATGAACGGACGGACGAAGCAATGCATGTATGAAGGAACAGCCAAACGAACAGCAGTGACAATCAGATACAGACAGCTGGTCTAGCTTGCTAGCTTTCGGTTATGCTGGGTTGGCTTTAGCTCGCTAAGTTTCTCTGATTCTGAAACTGTTTTGTGTGGGCGGCAAGAGCCTTGTGATTGGTCAGGGGCATGCTTATGGAAGCGTTATGCAAGATTAGGACCCCCCAGTTTACATTGAGGTAAATATGGAGAAACACATTGGTCATTGGAACATTATTCAAAGGGTAAACTTAGTACTCAGTTTACTGTTTGTCTACAATAACTAGAAGAACCTAATTAGAAAGAACACACAGATTTAGGCTCTCTGGGTCTTTAAGCCTAAAGTTTACATCCATAGTACCTCACGGGTCATTTCTAATTGCAGACAGCTGCTTAATTCACAATAATGTAACCATTCGCTGCGTCCCAATTGCACACTTAACACTAATACGAACTAGTGTTTGAGTATGTAGTATGTAGTATAGTCACAAGTGTCAAAGTTGAGTATACTCAAAAATCCACAATGCATACTTAGAACCAGTCGATTTTTGAGTATAGTAATGATGGACACTATTGTCCCATAATTCAAAGGGAAACGGAAAGGGAGGGGCTTCGGCGGATGGTGACGCGACGGCAGCTGTGGTGGTAGCCAGACCAGAAATGGTGTATAAATTAGTTCATCACAAATTTGTGAAATATTCTGTAAAAAACCCAAATGTGTTACTCTTACTCATGTTTTCATTCGTCAGCGTTTCTGTAAGAAATTTGTTTGTGAACGCACGTTAATTTGTTAGCCAGCCTTCAGAGTCTGGCTTGCTATGATGTGCGTTGTCATAGCAACGGTTCGTCACTTCCTGTTAGTAAGAACGGCGTAGTATGTTAATATTTTGTGTACTAACCTGTCGAGCTCATACTATTAAGATTAGTACGCAGTATATACTGTATGATATTAGTGCGTAGTGCACAATTGGGACGCAGCCACAGATTTAGGCTCTCTGGGTCTTTAAGCCTAGTTTACATCCCTACTACCTCACAGGCCATTTCTGAATGCAGACAGCCGCTTAATTCAGAATAATGGAACCATTCATTCAGCTTGAATCATGAATTGACTTGTTGAGGGTTGAGGGTCTCTACAGTAGGCCTCAAAATCCTAACCGGAGATACTGAGGAAGGAGGACTGGGACACGTACAGGAGGATTATCTTTAAGTCTCTGGCCGAGGGAGGGGCAAACATGAAAAGAACAGCTCTCACGAACAGCCACGCTACAAAGAGAAAATAAAAAAGCAGAAAAAACCTCTGAAAAGAAGAGGATTATGGACTAAAACCCAAACAGAGAGATGCTGCGGGGGAGTGCGCAGAGCCAGTCAGGAAGGGAGGGGCCGGGAGGAAGAGGGACCCGGATGCTGCTGCTGCTGCTGCTGCTTCGAAGCAGAGCGTTATATTTTTTTCCCGCGCCTGTATTCCGCCAAATCCCCGCCGCCCCTGCGCTGCGATTGGGCAGAAGCGTCCCTCCTGCACTGTGATTGGCTAAGAGTTCGCTGCCCGCGGGATGCTGCTAGCCAATCCGAGCGCGGGAGTAGGAAGCGCTGGCCAATCGCAGCGCGGCGAGGGCGGGACTTGTCCGAATTCGGGTGGGGAAAAAAATAACGCAGGAGGCGAAGGAGGGAAGAGGAGACCGTTAGAGAGATTTTACGTGAAGACGTTTAAATCGCGGTTCGCGAGGCTGTTTGGGGCCCGAACGGGAGCCTCCAAACCGGCTTCGGAGCACGATTCGAGGTTGTTTTTGTGCGGAAAGCGGTGAAGGGGGAGCAGGAGGAGAAGGAGAAGGAGGAGGAGGACACGGCGGAGGAGAGAGAGTGAGAGAGAGAGAGAGAGGGAGAAGATGCTGAGGGAGGGAGGGGGAGCGGAGGGCTCCGGAGACGGTTGTTTCGCCTGAAAACAGAGCCGTTATCCCGGGTTTGAACAGCGCCATGAGCCGAGACGAGGCGACCGAGCACTTAAGGTTCACCAGCGAAACTTTGTGGGGCCGTTAAAGTGGCCGAGGATGGCTTAGCTCGTCTGAAAAACGGCTAACATGCAGGGGAGCCTCACCTGCGATAAACAGGCCTCGGAAGCATCTTTTCAAATTCCGTAACGGCTTCGGCTACGATACGCTTCGCTAATGACTCTCGTTTAACCGTCACTGAGCGCTTAACGGTCAGGGCAGCTGCTGGCTCCTCTGACGGGGAGAAAAAGGGCCTGAAAGCTGATGGATAAATCTAGAAACTGTGGTAGCTTTTGCGTGGCCGGTAGCTTAGCATCCTGTCAGTCCTGTCAGCCCTGCCTGAAGCTAATATAGACCATGAAACAGGAGATTTTTCAGCTGACTTGAGCTCCAGAAATCAGTAACGGTAACTAAACAGCGCAGACATGGCGGGGTCCGTCAGAAGCAGCCTTGAGACGCAGGCCAGGCCGCTCGGACATGCCTGAGGAAAACGATTCCAGTATGTTTTAGGATGTTCTGAGAGAAACAGTGAGCTATAACAGCAAGGTTTCCTCCCTGAAACGAGCCGCTTTAGCCTTAGCCATGTCGAAGGAACTGTCCGTCAGCCAGACGGCTCAGTACGTTGGGCCTTACCGGCTGGAGAAAACGCTGGGCAAAGGACAGACAGGTAAGGAGAGCGCCGGTTTCCTCATTAAATCGCTTTGTCGGAACAGTTTGCTGAATGTGTGAACGATGCTGTGCAGGTTTGGTCAAACTCGGCATTCACTGCATCACTGGACAGAAAGTGGCCATCAAGATAGTGAACCGAGAAAAGCTCTCAGAGTCTGTGTTGATGAAGGTAAGAGAAAGTTCCGGGTTACTGTTTTGTTTTAAAGCCTGAATTATAATTGCTGATGCATTAATTTTAGCTTTAATTATTATAATTCTATGCTTGACTGGCCACTTTGTTGGAAACACCTACCCTATGCTACCACTGACTGACCACTTGGTCAGAAACGCCTGCCTTGCGCTTCCACGGTGGCCACTTTATCAGAATCACCCACCTTGTGCTTCCACAGAGTGGCCACTTTATTAGAAACACCGACCCTGTGCTTCCACAGAGTGGCCGCTTTATCAGAAACACCCACCTTGTGCTTCCACAGAGTGGCCACTTTATTAGAAACACCGACCCTGTGCTTCCACAGAGTGGCCGCTTTATTGGAAACACCCACCTTGTGCTTCTACAGAGTGGCCGCTCTATTAAAAACACCCACATTGTGCTTCCATTGATTGGTCACTTTATTAGAAACACCCACCTTGCGCTTCCACTGGCTGGCCACTTTATTAGAATCACCCACCTTGTGCTTCCACTGACTGGCCACTTTATTAGAAACACCCACCTTGTGCTGCTACTGGGTGGCCACTTTATCAGAAAAACCCACCTTGTGCTTCCATTGAGTGGCCACTTTATTAGAAACACCCACCTTGTGCTTCCATAGAGTGGCCACTCTATTAGAAACACCCACCCTGTACTTCCACAGAGTGGCCACTTTATTAGAAACACCCACCTTGTGCTTCCACAGTGGCCACTTTATTAGAAACACCCACCTTGTGCTTCCATTGACTGGCCACTTTATTAGAAACACCCACCTTGTGCTTCTACTGAGTGGCCACTTCATTAGAGGCACCTAACTAGCCTCTACCTTTTTAGGTCCGCTGTATAGCATAGTTGCAGGCTGTAGCCCATCTTTTGCTCAATTCATCAGCTGCTCTCCATTACTGGTCAATTTCTGACCACAGGACTGCTGTCCAGATATTATTTGGCTGGTGGACCATTCTCAGCACAGCAGTGTTGCTGGGTTTTGTCACATGTTAGTGTCACTGCTGGGTTGTGAGGGCTCTACCATCCAAAAATATCCAGCCAAGAGCAGCTCTGTGGTCAGAAACTGACCAGTGATGAAGGGCTAGAGAATACACAGATTGTGCATCAACATTTGGGCTGCAGGTGGAGCTGCCAGGCAGGTGTTTCTCATAAACTGGCCAGTGAGTGTGTGTTTGAGATAAGAAAATGAAGAAGTTTAGTAATCGACTGGCCGAATGTTCAGACTGATCTTCTGGTCTAATTAGTAAGGCTGGAGATGCTTGTACAGCTTGTAATTATGCTCTCTCTCCTTCTCTCCTTCCAGGTGGAAAGAGAAATCGCAATCTTAAAGCTAATCGAGCATCCGCATGTCTTGAAACTGCATGACGTTTATGAGAATAACAAGTACCTGTGAGTTCTCTTCCTTTTCCCAGCATCCATGAAAATCTCTCATCACCTCCTTGTTGTCTTTTTTTAATATCATGCTCCAACACGCATGTGTCACTCTCTCAGATATCTGGTGTTGGAGCACGTATCCGGCGGAGAGCTTTTCGATTATCTGGTGAAGAAAGGGAGACTGACGCCCAAAGAGGCCAGAAAATTCTTCAGACAAATCATATCGGCTCTGGATTTCTGTCACAATCACTCCATCTGGTAACGCATGCGAACGTTCACAGTTCATCACATAGGCTAAATCGACGAAAAGTGAAACGAGGCCGGGGGGAAGTCGACATCACTGATAAGAGCTTTGCTTTAGATAAGGCTTTAATCTCTCAATCGTCAGCTGTTTCAGTGTGAAGTACTTAACTGTATTGCACTTTATCCATGTTAGCTGATTTGTTTTTTGCCCGTTCTTGCCTGAAAGTGCACTGCAGTGTTCTGCAGGGCCGGGCGGCCGGGGTTTTGCGATCTGATCGTCACTGTCATTGCTGTGTTTTGGTGAGTGTTGTCTGCCTGTGGTTGGTAAACCGTGGCTTTGTGGTGCTGTGTGGTTCCCCTCCAGTCACAGAGATCTGAAGCCAGAGAACCTCCTGCTGGATGAAAAGAATAATATCAGAATCGCTGACTTTGGCATGGCCTCACTACAGGTGGGGGACAGTCTGCTAGAGACAAGCTGTGGGTGAGTACAGTGAGTGTGAATGCTTGTACTATGTATGCAGCAGTGTTCATGTTTTGACTGCTCAATGACCTCGTAATTCACAGGAGCCTGTGACACAGGGTGAAAATGTACACAGGACAAATGAGGCATTTTAGGCCCAGTCCCATTTCACCCCTCGCCCCCACCACTTAGCCCTTAGCCCTCCGCTTTGAGCGTTCACGTCTATGGGTCAAAAATGACAATTTTCTTAGTTTAATGTAGTTTCATGTATATATTATGGTCCTTTTCTTCATAACAAGCATTAAACATCGCTAATAGCCTAATAGTAGCTAGCTAAATTTCCTGTTCCACCTTAAATAGTCCAGCAGTTCTGATGCCCGAAGCGCCAGAATGTAACTGCTGCTCCATTTAAGGTGGAACAGGAAAATTAGAACAAGAATCTGGTGAATATCTGAAGAATTAGGGGTGGGTGATAATAAATAATTGCCCCCCTCTTTGAAGGCATATGATGCCCTAAATGTAACTAAAGCCCAGCAGTGAGGAGCTGAACTTTACCCTCCTCTGCTGTCACTGCAGACTGGCAGGGTCGCCTACAGAGCAGCGCTGGTAGCTGTTAATGAAGTGATGCTCTTTTTATTTGAGGGTCCCATTTCAGAGGGAAGATTTCAACCACGACCCCTTGTAGCTCAGTTCTAAGGGGCAAAGTGACGAGTGTTTTTGTGACTGTCCCTTTAAGATTAACGTATATGTAAATGAGCTCTGTAAACTTCTCTTTGGATGGTATATTTGCTTCCTAACAGCCAGTAAAAAGCGTTTAATAGTTTTCTCCACACCTTTTGCTCCAGTACCGCAGTAACAACACTCCCTATGATTTTAGTGTGAATGAGATGGGTAACTTCTAAGTGGCCATATGTCAATATATTCAAGGTTGTGACATCACAGCCACAGTTAATTCAAAACAGGGTGTATTTGTGTCTATGGCTGTGTTCACACAGCAGGTAAAAGTGGCCCAAATCTGAGCTTTTTCTTTATATTTGACAGATGTGTGTCTGTGTAGCAGTGTGAACAGCAAAAAAGACTCAATCTGACATTTTCAGTTTAGATTTAAGACGCTTTCATAGGTGGCTCTGAAATCCGATACGTATCTGATCTGCCACAATGCGACTCAGTCTGAACAGCCACATCGGAATTCATGCGACTTTTACATCAAACCAACTCGACATTCGTCATAATTTCATGCTGCCGAGACTCATAAACATTTGGGCTGATGTTTCTGTACAGACAAAGTTAGAAGGCACTTAGCGCAACCGCTCCGCGTTTGAAGAGATTTCTGACGAAATGACCGAACGTGGCCGTAGGAGAACGAGGCTGCAGCATCGAAAGTCTGAAAGCGAAGTTTAAAGAATCTGAGGACGCGAATCAAAGAAGTGACCGCGCCCTTTTTATGGCGAGCTGAACACATTCTGGGTGATGAGCCCAGCTGTCAGTCCTTGAAGCTTCATGATGGCTCCTGTGATGCTGGCGAAGATGAAGCTGATCCTCCGGGAGCGACTGGCGCTCGTTGGCAGTCGTGATTGTTTACCTCTGGATGAGCCGTGAAGCAGCATGACACGTTCTTTTGCGCATGCGGCTCAGTTTAGGAGCTGATCTGTTCAGACTGATGTCTCATACAGATCACATTTAAATGATAATGTGAACAGCCAAACAAAAAAATAGGATTTGGTGAGAAAATCAGGTTTGGGCCACTTTAACCTGCTGTGTGAACATGGCCATAGTTTCCATATATGGGCCGTATGGACTGATGTGTGGTACGTTTTGAAACTGAGGCTACCTGGTACAACAAACTCTTACTTCAGAAATGCAAGGAAAATGTGGTTTTACAAGATATGAGCCCTTTAACTGTGTGTAGTTTTTATTACCAGTTGGCTTGGATAGGTTTTTGCAAATTTGCAACTGTGGGATTGTTTTCACTTTGATTTGAAATTTCAATCTCTCCTCTCTTTCTTTCAAGGTCCCCACACTATGCTTGTCCAGAAGTGATCCGGGTGAGTCCATGTCGATCTCAGTTCATATGTGCTCTCCTCTCCTACTAGGACACAAACCCAGTTAGGTTGAACAGTAGTAATTATGCAGTGAGGGAATAAACCTAACATGTTTCCATGTGGATGTGTTGCAGGGGGAGAAGTATGATGGCCGGCGAGCGGACGTGTGGAGCTGTGGTGTGATTCTCTTCGCGTTGCTTGTGGTGAGGATGTTCTCTCTGTCCTTAACAGCATCTGCCCAACACCCCTCTCTCTCTCTGTCCTCTGTCATTCCCCATATTATGCAGCTCCATCGCTTATTCATTGCTCATCCATTGCTCACAGTCACAGGTTGATAAGCAGTCTTAAATTCCCAGGACTGTTACATCCTAAAGCTTATTATTCCGTAACTACATGGAAAAACAGTCTGAGAGTTATTCTAAGTTATAGGGGTGAGGGATGGCATCCTGGACCTGCCTTTTTGTGTCTTTACAACTTCTACTTTTTGACCCCTGTTTGTTCTCCTCCACGCAGGGCGCCCTCCCCTTCGACCACGACAATTTGCGGCAGCTGCTGGAGAAGGTGAAAAGTGGGGTGTTCCACATGCCCCACTTCATCCCGCCGGACTGCCAGGCTCTGCTGCGCGGCATGATCGAGGTTGACCCAGAAAAGAGGCTCACGGTGAGGGCGCAGGGGGTCCGTGTACTTTGTGAAGTCTTGACTCATCTGTTCAGCCCCACTAGATTTAGCTGAGGCAGCTGGTTTAACTGATGCTTTGGTTTGTGGTGATTCTTTTGCTCCATGCTGTGGATTTATAGCCTGAAGCATTACAATAATTTCATGGATAGTTAATTAATTACTTTTACATTCATTTATGTTGTTTTTTCTTTTTCTTTGATAGTTTTCTTGTCAAATAATGATAAAAACATGGCAAAACAAACCCTGTACTTATAACAAAATGTTTAGAAACAGCCTTTTTTGAGAAATTAACTTCAATATACAACATTCTTTTGTTTTTGTTGGCATTAACTATAATGGGTTAACAGGGATGATATACTTCAAATATAACATCATTTTCGTCAAAATGTCACTGAGGTATGAGTCCATATGGTGCGCTGTGAGCCTCTTTCTGAGCAGAACTTTTAATCACGGCGTTTTTGGTTCTGAGATCTGAGGTCTTCTTAGGTATATTTACAGCAGCATGTTTCGTAATAGTTTGATTTCATTTAGTTCTTTTGCCATTTAAAGTATACAGCCAGCTTTAGTCAGTGAGCGGATTGTGTTGCTGCTGACACAAAAGTATGTTAGTACTGATACACTGAGATCTAGTATGGAGTTCAGTACACCCTAGAGAGATTTAGGGTTATTAAAGCGGCCTCACAGGTCTCACAAGTGATAAACCAGCTTGATCCACAGAACTGTGCTGAGTCTAAGCCAAAAAGGACATTAGAAACAAACTACCTCCGGCTCTTCACAGCTGGAGCTTCAAAGAAGTTCAAGCTACTTGAATCTGTTCAGGGCCCGGATTCACAAAAGTGTCTTAAGAAAGAAAATCTTTTTAAATGTGTTTTTTCTTAACTTTATTCTTAAGAAAAAATGAGAAATTGTTATTCTTCAAATAACCTCTTTAGAAAGATAAAGATTTTATTCTTTTTCCTAACTACTTTCTTAAAAATAATTCTAAGAACGAGTGTTATTCTTGAAAATATTATGTTCTTAAACGTTTTCTTAACCTTACGACAGCCTCATATTTGTCTTAGGCTGTCCGAGTTAACAAAGGAAGCATCTAAATTTATCACGGACGCTGCTTCTGCTGTTCCCGCCCGTCCTTGTCCGTCACCCCACAGTTGGCATATTTTCCAAGATGGATTTTTTTCCTGTTGGCTGTTTCTTCCACCATCACCTCTTGTTATTGTTCGCTACATCTTTTAAACGCTTGGTTTGGTGTTTTTCCTCCGCTTTGCCCGTTTGAGTAGGTCAAACTAAATAACGGAAATAACAATTAATTAAAATTCAAAATAGGTTCAGGCGCTCTCAGGTTTTCCTTTGTGTCAGCATTCAGTTACAGCACCTTCAGTTACAGCGCCATCTGCTTGCGAACAGACTGTACTAATCGCTCCATCTGTTGTCCTCTCCCTGCAGCTAGAGGAAATTCAGAAGCACGCCTGGTATCAGTGAGTATTGATTATTTCTGTCTGAGCCACTGTGGTCAATCCATGGTGATGCATTGCAGCTGCATAGCATGAATTTTTCCATGGCTGCATGCGTGGGTGCATGTGTGTGTACAAGTCCCTGCGCTAGAAAAACGGTAACGATGATAAACCTTCTGTTTAGAGTGTTCAGAAGCATGTTGGATGTTTGGTCAGTGTTTATAACAGTGTAACAGTGTGAAAGTAATGTGGAACATGTGTGTGTGTATGTGTATCCCAGGGCAGGCCGCAATGAACCATGTCCAGAGCAGCCGGCGCCGAGGCGCGTGTGTGTGAAGAGAATCCTCTCTCTGACCGAGCTGGACCCAGACGTGCTGGAGAGCATGCACTCTCTGGGCTGCTTCCGAGACCGAGTCAAACTTACTCGAGACCTGCAATGTGAAGAGTGAGCATAGAAAAGTCCCAGCAACACAGAACTGTCAGTTAGGGATGAGTATTTTAGTGAACATTGATCTCCGAATTTATAAGGCATTATTGAGAAATATTCAAATAACACCCCTCCGTCCCCAACACCACGGAAAAAAACAGTATAGGAATCTTGGCTACAGGCTACTATGCCAGACACATCATTAGACAGTAACAGGAGACAGTGATGCCACTTAGCACATCTTACTGTAGGCCCTTTTCACAAGAAACAGGAGTGTGTAAACGCTGGGTAAAACAAGTTCCGCTATTGCCTTATGGGCAGTTATTAACCTCAACAAATACAGGCGGTCGTATCACTTCAGCCACCACAGAAAGGTGTCTGATTTTATCTTTGTCATAGTTGCCAAGAGCTCCATCGCTCCAGAGTTCCACTGCTCCACAGCCCAATGCTGGGGGCCGTATACCCCTCTAGCCCATGCTTGGCGCTGGGCATGGTGATCTTAGGCTCATGTGCACCTGCTCTAGAGCGTCCTATTCTGTTGGATTTCTATGAAACGCCTATGTAAGCAATGGGGGACCTTAAAGTAGCTGAATTCACTTATTAGAAGGCCTGTCTGGATGCTTTTGGGCATAAAGCCTATCAGTGTTATAGTAAAAAAATGTTCTAGCATGGAGCATCAATAAAGACAAAAAGTGATGAAAATCTTTCGATCCTAATGAATAAATCTTCATCTAAACCGCTTATCCTTCTGGGTTGCGGTGGGGTGCTGGAGCCTATCCCAGCTGTCATTGAGCGGAAGGCAGGATACACCCTGGACAGGTCGCAAATGATATAGATACATTCAAAAATATAGCATCACAATACTCAATATGCATCATGATATTTTTATATATATATATTTTATATAAGCACCGGTCCTCTCATCAGGAGATCGCAAGCTTGATCCTTGGTGATGCTGCAGCCATCCGTGGCCGGGAGCCCAAAAGAACACAATTGGCCTCGGTCTATGGGTGGGTAGGATGGCCTCCCACCATCTCCTCCCATCACCCAGCGCGATGCTAGCCAGCGCAGGGGTCTGTTAGCTGACGTAACAGATCTGGCGGTTAGTGTTCTCCTCTGAGCGCGTTCAGCTGTCCAGTGATGTTGCGTGAGCGGCAGTTCGAAAAGATGTGATTGCACTTCGCAGTTCTCGAAGGAAGCCTGTGCCAGCCTTCCCCCTCCTAGCGCTGGTGGTGTCGTGTTATTGGAGGAGTCCTAACTAGTGGGTGGAACTGGATATGACTAAATTAGGGGGGAAAATTAGGAAAAATCAAACAAAAAAGATGTCCAAAACTGAGTACAATTATTTTAATTCAACATTTCACACATCGCGCTACACTAAATTCAGTTAAATGAGCCTAATAATGATCTCTGTAATAAAACACGCTTTTTTTGGTGTTGAAGTACTGACGATATTCATGATGTGCTCTGAAAAGCATATGGAGATATGATGTGATGTAATTTATCATGTTACTGATAATATAGTCATATTGAACACCCCTAGGTACAGGCAGGCTGTCCTAACAGTGTGACCTTTTGCTCTCTGTGTACAAATTAAAAATAATTTAAAATGATTTAAAATTAAAAACACACACTAAATTAACATGTTTGTGCTACATTTGCTCATTGATTTGAATGAGACTTTTTCCAGCGTTCTGTAAACTTGCTCCTCTGTTCTGTAAACATTTGTGTTGGAGCATGAAAAGATCACTTGGTACAGATGTATGGCAGTGATAGCTTGTGGATTTTAATAGTAGTAATGATAAATAAATGACAGGAACAGCAGTATATTTCTCTCTGTCTGTCTCACGTAGGGATAATCAGGAGAAGATGATATACTATCTCTTACTGGACCGTAAGGAACGATATCCCAGCTATGAGGACGAGGACTTGCCGCCCAGAAACGATGTAGGTGAGTACAGCTGAGTGGTCCAGTTCTTTTGAATGAGATCACCGATCACTTGGTTAGTCGTGACTCTTCTATGGTGTTTTTTCATAATGTCAGGGTCAGGGGTCAGTCTGACCTTATTTGTGTGTGTTGGTGAGTTGTTGCAGATCCTCCTCGTAAGCGCGTCGACTCACCCATGCTGACCCGTCACGGTCGCTGCCGGCCAGAGAGGAAGAGTCTGGAGGTGCTGAGTGTGACGGAGCAGGGCTCACCTACACCCCCTCGGAGAGCGCTGGACACCTCCGCGCACAGCCAGAGGTATATACACATAAACAGACATACAGTGTGAGCACTTACACTGGCTCCAGTGATGCGGTACCAAGTTACTCCTAACCTTGAAGGGAAATTCCACCCATATTTTGCATAATTCAATGGTAGAGATCTAAACAAAGACAATCAGAGTGGTTTGGTGTGAAGTGGTTCATTGTAGAGACTAGAAAACAATGTCTCAGGCTTCAGGCAGTGTATTCGTAACAATTTTATGTAATATCTTTTTGGGAGGGAGCGTTTAGAGGCGTTAAATGCTATGGAGTCAGTGAATAGACTCTGACACTGAATGGTGAATTTCCTGTCAAACCACTCTGAATGACTTTGTTTACATCTTAACAAGTTAATTATGCAGATATTTAAAAATATCATGGGAATTTACCTTTAACCATATAGCAGAAAATTAAAACAAAAAGTAGAACTTGAAGTGTTTTTTCACATTATTATATTTTACACCCTCTTTTATTGTGCAAATAAAAATAAGTGTTTTATGGCGTGACGCAAAATATGCCTTACATTTTCAATTTGTATCTTATATATAATATCTTCAGTGCTGACTGCTTGTTTTCACTGCTTCGCTCCTGCACAGATCACGATCAGTAAGTGGAGCATCGACTGGTCTGTCTTCCAGCCCTCTGAGCAGTCCGAGGGTAAGGGCTTGTGCGCCAGCGCATTTCCCTATTTCGTTATTTGCATTTTTGGATGGAGTCATTTTTTTTTAAATGGTAGCATTTGTAGTCCAAACGCAATATGAATTTGTGTATAATATGATCTAATGCTGTTCCATATTTTACATCATTTTTTCGAGAATGTTCAAGACACTCATAACACAGTTCATGTTCTCATTATTCCACCATTCACTAGAGTCAGTCACACACACATCCTTTCAGAGCACTTTCCATATTCGCTGCTGTTCAAAGGCTTGGAATCACTTTTCATGTCATTAATTGCTGTTATTATATGATAGTTATTCATGCATTGTAGATAATTTAAATACTATAAACATCAAGCAGTGGTTTTGTTGAGTATTTTGAAACAATAAGAAGTTAAGGAATAAAATAATTTAATAACAAAATGTTATCTTATTAATTTTATGTAATTTTTCTCATTCCAGACGCCTCTAAAATTTCCAGTTATTTGAAACCTGTGAATTTAATTCCAAGCGTTTGAACTGTGATTCCAAACTTTTGAACACTAGTGTAGCCTCACTCTACATCTGTCATTTGTTAGCACTCATTGCTCATTTCCACTCCTTTCTTTCTCCCCATCCTTCGCCACCCTTCCTCACTCCCGCCGCTCCTCTGCTCCACGGCATCAGAGCCCGGTGTTCACTTTCAGCCAATCAGAAGTCACCGCCACCACCAAACCAGGAAGCGGCGGCACCACGCCGCGCCCCGCCCGCTCTCATGAGTCCAAGACTCAGACACTTCCGTCCAAGGCGCCCTCCGAGCGCCCCCACCTCCAGTCCATGAAGTCCCTCCCCCTGCACTCCCCTTCCTCTCGCTCGCCCTCACCCTCTCCGCTCCTCTCGCCCATCCCGCGCTTCCTCTTCTTACCTGCCGTCCTCAAGTCGATGACTAAAAGCTTCTATCCCGTGTCTCAGGTCACCCCTCAAGGCTCGCCCTTGCCCACCCCTCTGGGCACCCCCGTGCATCACCCCCACCACCCCCCCGCTACTCCCCCCTCCTCCTCTTCCTCCTCTTCCTCCTCCCGCGCTGAAGGAGGGGGCGTGGGCGTCGGCTCGCTCTCCTTGACTCCGCCCTCCAGTCCGGGAGGGGGCGGCGGCATGGCGGCCAGCAGCTCCGCCCACTGGAGGACCCGTCTCAACTCGTTCAAGAATAACCTGCTCGGGTCGCCGCGCTTCCACCGCCGCAAGCTGCAGGGTGGGGCAACCAGCTTTGTTACTGCACATGTTAACGCACGTTATACACTTCATTAAGTGTAATAATGACATAATTACTGTTACTGTTTGTTGATGGAACCAGAGCAATCAGTGTTTATAAACTTGTTTATAATCTTCGACTTTCTGGTTTTCAGTGCCCACTTCAGAAGACATGTCAAGCCTAACGCCAGAGTCCAGCCCTGAGTATGTATAACTAGAGCGCTGACAATAATCATATATGGTTTCTATTAGGGCTGGGCAACATGAAACATAAATCTAAAAAATACCATTCTATATCAAAAATAGTCATCACGCACACACGTGCCATCACAGCCTAGTGATGACTTTTAGCCAATAAGAAGTGAACTAGGTGGTAGCACCACACCCTGTCCCACCAGCTTTCACAAGTTTAAGGTTGCTTTCACACCTGCCTTGTTTGGTTTGGACCTTCTGACTTTTAGCAGGTGTGAAAGATGCTTTGGGCCTTGGTCCGGACCAAGGGACCAAAATTTGGTGCAGCCAAAAGAGGTGGTCTTGGTCCGGATCAAATTGAACCACTCCTCTTACTCCAAGACATTTTTCCTAGAAGTTGTGGCATTCTTTATTCTCCCTAATTTTAACACTAGCTAGCCAGAGAATAGCTAGAAAACAACTAGCTAGCTAACTCTCCTAACTGACATGCGGTTTGTGCAGTTATGAGTAAATGGCTAGACTCCTTCTCTCTCCCCATTGCCACTTAATGTACCAAACTGTAATGTGCACCAGAATGAGGAACCAAATACTCTTATCATTTTATCTAAAATACACTATATTGCCAAAAGTATTCGCTCGTCTGCCTTCACACGCATATGAACTTGAGTGACATCCCATTCTTAATCCATAGGGTTTAATATGATGTCGGCCCACCCTTTGCAGCTATAACAGCTTCAACTCTTCTGGGAAGGCTTTCCACAAGGTTTAGGAGTGTTTATGGGAATTTTTGACTGTTCTTCCAGAAGCACATTTGTGAGGTCAGACACTGATGATGGATGAGAAGGCCTGGCTCACAATCTCCACTCTAATTCATCCCAAAGGTGTTCTGTCAGGTTGAGGTCAGGACTCTGTGCTGGCCAGTCAAGTTCTTCCACACCAAACTCGCTCATCCATGTCTTTATGGACCTTGCTTTGTGCACTGGTGCGCAGTCATGTTAGAACAGGAAGGGGCCGTCCACAAACTGTTCCCACAAAGTTGGGAGCATGAAATTGTCCAAAATCTCTTGGTCTGCTGAAGCTTTAAGAGTTCCTTTCACTGGAACTAAGGGGCCGAGCCCAACTCCTGAAAAACAACCCACACCATAATCCCCCCTCCACCAAACTTTACACTTGGCACAATGCAGTCAGACAAGTACCGCCTCCTGGCAACCACCAAACCCAGACTCGTCCATCGGATTGCCAGACGAACCGTCACTCCAAAAAAAACGTCTCCACTGCTCTAGAGTCCAGTGGCGGCGCTCTACACCACTGCATTCCACGCTTTGCATTGCGTTTGGTGATGTAAGGCTTGGATGCAGCTGTTCGGCCATGGAAACCCATTCCATGAAGCTCTCTACGCTGTTCTTGAGCTAATCTGAAGGCCACATGAAGTTTGGAGGTCTGTAACGATTGACTCTGCAGAAAGTTGGTGACCTCTGCGCACTATGCGCCTCAGCATCCGCTGACCCCGCTCTGTCATTTTACGTGGCCGACCACTTCGTGGCTGAGTTGCTGTCGTTCCCAATCGCTTCCACTTTGTTATAATACCACTGACAGTTGACTGTGGAATATTTAGTAGTGAGGAAATTTCATGACCGGACTGTTGCACAGGTGCTTGGTTTTATATACCTGTGGCCATGGAAGTGATTGGAACACCTGAATTCAGTGATTTGGATGGGTGAGTGAATAGTTTTGGCAATATAGTGTACCTTGAATCAGTATCAAAAAATATGTTTGCATTGTCATTGGCTTAAAGGGCAATCCCACCAACTTTCATTTCTGCATAATTCAATCATTGATATGTAAACAAAGGTGGCTGGTAGCCTAGTGGCAGGAAAGGTGAGCCAGCAATTGGAAGCTTGTTGGTGCAAATCCCAGGAGTGCCTGAGTATATCTGGTTGTGCCCTTGGGCAAGGAATTTAAGCCCCCATTCCCCCCAGGCAGCACTGCTCTACTGGTGGCACTGTACTGCTCCCAGTATGGACAACAAAATAATAGGTTTCCCTTGTAGAATCAAGTGCACAAAACATTTAGAGTGGTGTAACATGAAATGGTTCATTGAAGAGAAACTTACCAACTCAGATTTCTTTACAGTGGTGGTGATAGGAACCAGGGGACACCATGACTACAACGCAAGAATAGCCATTTTATGACCAATAAACCTACATAAGATTTTATGTATATTGTTAAAAACAGTAAAATAGCGGTAAATTTGAAAATCATTTGTTACTATTTTTGCCTTACAACATCCTGATGTACCTTTCCATCATAAATGGATTACAAATGTTATTTGATAATGTTTAATGCCAAAACTATGTCTCAGACATCAGACTGTGTATTCATACCAGCGGCATTAATATCACTAGATGTTTGGTTCCTATCACCACCACTGTTAACAATTCTGACTCAATATGTTTCTCCAGGATGGAGCATTTCACACAAAACCACTCTGAGTGATTTTGTTTACATCTGAACCATTGTGCAGAAGATTGTGTAGAAAATTATGCTGAAATCAGTGAAACTCCCCTTTAATTATCGGTTTATCGCCCAGGCCTAGTTCTTATAAGCATTAGACCTCATGTTACATTAGCCCTCAGGTTCCTATTACCTGTTGTCTGGAACTGAATGTGTTTGTTTTCAAGCAGGCTGGCGAAGCGATCCTGGTTTGGGAACTTCATCAGTCTGGAGAAAGAGGAGCAGATTTTTGTGGTGATCAGAGACAAACCACTCAGCTCTATTAAAGCGGACATCGTCCACGCTTTTCTCTCTGTGAGTTTAATTCTCCTACAGAAATCAGTTGGGAGTCACATTGAGTGTAATATACTTATTAATCATCAAAACATTCTCTGTGTGTGTCTCTCTGTGTTAGATTCCATCCCTCAGTCACAGCGTGATCTCTCAGACAAGTTTTCGGGCGGAGTATAAATCTTCTGGAGGTCCGTCGGTCTTCCAGAAGCCTGTGAAGTTTCAGGTGGACATCTCCTTTTCTGAGGGAGAGAGGGAAAGGGAGAGGGAAAGAGAAAGGGAAGGAAAAAGAGATTATGGAATCTACAGTGTCACTTTTACCCTCATATCAGGTAAAAGATTTGAAAAAATAGTTTTAGAGCTTATCTTCCTCGTCAAAGCTACTGCATTTCCAAATATGGCTTGATCTCTATGAGTGCATGTGGGTCTGAACAGGTCCGAGTCGCAGGTTTAAGAGAGTGGTGGAGACGATTCAGGCCCAGCTGCTCAGCACGCATGACCAGCCCTCAGTACAGGCTCTTGCTGGTGAGTCACTGCATAAACAGAAAAACACTCATCTTGAGCTGCACAGATAGCAAGACTGCAAATAGATAGATTATAATATGGTGGTTGTTTTTCTACTTATAGTCTCTGTGATTTGCCTTGCATTATATTAACCCTATCAGACTGACCATCCTGCTAGCCGAATAAAATTGCACATTGTCCTTAGAGCATCACTGCTTGTCAGTTCACTAAGGCTACGTTTACACAGCAGGTAAAAGTGGCCCAAATCTGATTTTCTCACCAAATCCGATTTTTTTGTTTGGCTGTTCACATTGTCTTTTAAATGTGATCTGTATGCGACATCAGTCTGAACAGATCAGCTCCTAAACCGGCCCACATGCGCAAATCAACAATGCTTTACGTGGCTCATCCAGAGGTAAACAATCATGATGGCCAGTGAACGCCTGTCGCTCCCGGAGTGTTCAGTTTCGTCTTCGCCAGCATCGCAGGAGCGATTATAAATATAGTGGTTGACAGCTGGGCTCATCACCCACAGCGTGTTCGAGTTTGCCATGAAAAGGGCTCGTTATTTGGCCACGGCCACTTCTTTGGTTCGTATCCTTGTATTCTTTAACTTTTTTTTGATGCCGCAGCCTCATTCGAAGCCTCTTTGTACAGTTGCGATAAGTCTCTTCTAATTTTTTGGTATAGAAACATCAGCCTAAATGATTGGATTGACGTAAAAGTTGCATGAATTCCGATCTGGCTGTTCAGACTGAGTCGCATTGCCGCAGATCGGATACGTATCGGATTTCAGTACCACATATGAAAGTGTCTCAAATCGGAATTGAAAATGTCAGATTCAGTGTGTTTATCTGTTCACACTGACACACAGACACTTATGAAGTAAAAGATGGATTTGGGCCACTTTTACCTGCTGTGTAAACGTAGCCTAAGTGATGGGCATTTTGTCAGAGAATATAGAGATTGAGCTAACTAGCAATCTCCCGTTTCATGGTCAGTGTAGACAATTTCCATTCCTCATCAGAGCACTGCATATAAGCTCACCGGACAAAAAATTAGTCACCTGTGACTGAAACGTACCCAATAGCGTGTAATACCTCCACAAGCATGAATAACAGCTACGATTCGATTTGGCCTGGACTGGACAAGTTTCTGGATGTAGGAGACATCAATGTTCAGCCACTCTTGCATTAAAAAATTGCGCAGTTCGGCCAAATTTCTTGGATGCCTTCCCTGGTGTCTTACTCGTTGTTCCAAGTAGTCCCACAGATTTTCAAGAGGATTCAAATCTGGGGATTTTGCAGGTCAGTCCAGATGTGTAAATGCTCCTGAACGTTCATCATGCCAGTCAGTCACATTTGCAGCCCTGTGAATGTCATCTTGGAATACAGGGATAGGAACGTTATGTTCCTTGGTAAGATGATGAGCTAAAAGCAAAACCTGTTCGTCCAGCAGCTCAATGTAGGAACTGTGGTTCAAATTTACTGTCACCTCAACCAAAGGACCCATTTCTGCGTAATTAAAACACCCCCAGAACATCACAGAACTCCTCCAGCTTGAACCACACATTGAGGGCTTCCTGAGGTCTACGATGAACACGACGCCGAGCATCATTTACGTACAGGCAGAGACCAGATTCATCTGACCAGATAACACGTTTCCAGTCATGAACAGTCCAATTTTTGTGTTTCCACTGTAACTGGGCAACTTTGTGAGCAGAAGTGAGAAAAGGCCTCCTGCGTGCCACTCTGCTCCATATGTTCATGGTGTGCAGTTCCCTGTGGAGCGTTCTTTCAGAAATTGGTTGTGAAGAACCTGCCTTGACTTCTAACAGTAATTCTTGCCTGGAAGCGAAGCGATTTTTATTCACAAGCCATGAAACATGTTGACGGTCCGGGTCCGTCAGTTTCATCTTTCGGCCACAATTCTGATGGGAATTTCCTGTAGACTGAGATTTTTGCCACTGCTGGTCGACCCGTATGACCGGACGCTTCGACACACCTTCAGATTCAGCTACGACCTTTGACGTCCAAATGCAGTCACTCTTTTTTGCCAATCATTAACGACTCATTTTCCACACATTGAGCGAGACATTCACTGCACTGTGCCACCTCTTTTCAATCTATAAACCCCGTCACACACCCCGCAGATATTTATAGCCCAGTCATCCTCATGCAGGAACCTGAAGTTACTACCACCTTAAATACACAAGGTGACTAATTTTTTGCCCGTGGAGCTTACTTAAAAAATGGGTCATTCGTTCTGCTGCATTGCTTGCTCTATTCCTTTGTGCATAGATCAGTTTTCATCCACCAACTTTGGCCTGTTAGGATTAAAACAGTCAAAACAGTAATGAACAGCCTGCTTTGTTCTGACTGAAATCATGTGAACACTTTGATTTGCTAAAACAACACAGAACAACTGCAAAAAAAAACTATGATTTATTAGAGAAATGCTCATTTGCAAGTCACCGCCCATAGTAGAATACAGTTTAACAACTGACCCCTTAAACTGCACATTTAAGGCTTATTGTTCAGTAACTACTATGAAACAACTATACAAGTTATGCGGTTATAAGAGTGAGGAGTTGTGTAGGCGCACAAACAGATCTTGAGTGTTTAATTGATTTACAAATTGCAAATGATGCAACTCTAAAACTTATCTTTGCACGCTTCCATGCTTGCCTGGATTACTGACATTCTCACATAGCACCGCTTCCCGTAGACGAGAAGAACGGTCGTCCACCTGGAACGCCAACCAGGCAAAACTCGCGTCGCTCGGAAGGCGGGAGCGACCGCTGCGAGTGGGTTGACCGAGGAGAGAGCGGGGCGTTGCTCCAGCGAAGGGGCTCGGGCAAAGAGAGGACCCGCCTACTATCCTCCAACGGCACTCAGTCACAACCCTGAGCAGGAAGAGCCAACCAACATTTAGCATCCCACACACAGCCATGTGGTGACCATGGAAACACTCTTACAAACCTCATTCCCCTCCTTGCTACGTTACAGCATGCTGGTAATGTTGCGTTCTTTTTGTTTTCTGTTCTGTCAGATGGGTGCTTCTCCAAATTTCGGTGCAAACGAACACGTATCCACTTCACAAGATGAAAATTAGACAAGAAAAACCGCCAGATTAGTTTTAGGGGTTATCAGAATCGTGATATTGCAAATACTGTCGTCAATCCCAGTGTCTAATGTAAAAATGGTGAAGTTATTTACTATCTACTTCAGACTAGACGTGAAGTTTAAATCATTGCCAAAATTGGTTTCATTAACTCATCGTGACTGTTCTGAAATTAGTTCCTAACGTCCAACTCTGGCTCAGATGCCTTCTAGAAATAGAGAAGCTCTCAGAATCGTTCAGCTCTGGCCTTTATGGAGAGAAACCCACCCTACCTTTCTACAGCTTACTTAAGCAAATTTTGGATAGAAATATTCTACGAAAATGCGAGAGAACGTTTTTTTGAGCCATCAACTTCAACTTGCAGTGTTATCAGCATCACGTATTTCCACTAACAGATCACTGTAGTCAAATATGATATTCTTGCACATACTAGATACAAGATACACCCTCTGAATAACCAAACGGACTTGTATGCAATAAAGAACAATAAGCTAAAAGAGGTGCGGTCTTGAAAAAAGCTACGGTTGCTGAATCTTTCTGATTATTTTTTCCCAGCGCAAACTTGATTTCACACAGATGTATACTCAGCTTTTCTTACCTACTGCTTGTCATTATTGCGTATAATGGACGCAGTTCACGTAAGCCGGGTTTTCTAGGGTTTCTGCACGCCGAAATCACACCTTCCCATCGTCATCTATCAACGACATGAGTAGCAGTTTTGATTGTACCTCCTTGCATGTATTCTAGACCTTAAATCTGGCCTCAAAATGACCCCAGTGGCAGCCCGAAAAGCATGAGACAACATATGATTAGAAAAAAACAATAAATCATTCTGAGCCCACCAAATAATGCTGGAGCTTATTCCGAACTGCTAATGTAAAACGTTGAGCGCAGCGTCCCAGCGGATTTGAAAATTCTCCACAACATGTGAAACGGATCTTCGACTTCATCCTCTGTTGCTGCAAGACTTTTGGTTGAAGCCAAACAAAGTGAATGTCATGAGATATTTTTTAATTTGGGGATTTTTGATTTATCACAGAGTATTTATTTATTCGTAACCGTACCGAGAGCGGCGGCATCACAGAGAGACGCTGGATTCTTGGCGAACTTTTGCTCGGACAAAACTGGATATGTGCTACAGACTACAAATCTGTGGGAGTCCTGTTTATTTCTCTTCATGGACTATAAAAACCACTGGACGTCCGTTCGTGCTTTGACTCTCGTGTCCTGAAGAAATATTTTTGATTTAAAAAAAAAATAACTATAAAAAAATGGATGGATCAAATGAACCAATAGCATTAGACTGAAAACGGACTCCTGGACCAGTCGGATGGACTAATGCACAATATTACAGTAATGGGAAAATAAAGACTTCTCAACGAGACGCGTACTTTCTCTGGAGTATATACTGTACATCACACACCCATACAGACAATGGGACACAGAAAGTGGACAAAACAAAGCAAATCGTACAAAGACTCATCCGTCCATCTACTGTCTGGGCCAAGGACCTCACTCTCACGTCCACGCTTATTCCCATTGACATGCACATAATGTTTGTCGATTCATGTTCAATTAAATTATGAGACGGTGTAAAAGGAAAAAAAAAAATATGATATCGATCTCTTTGTACAGCACTGCTTTATCATTGGGCTTCCTCGCAGCGTAATTATGCAACTGATCCAGAACGATCTACGGAGGGAGGAACCTAGTCAGCCAGTGTTCCTCATGAACGGTGTTTTTTTTTGTTCTATCTCTCTCAACTAAACAGGAGCCATCACTTCTATCCAGCTGTGTTTCGTGAGTGTGTGTGTGCGTGTGTAACTGCAACTTATTTATTTATTTATTTATTTATTTATTTGGCCATTTATTTATTTACTTTCTTGTATGTCTATTTGTGTGGGTGGGGCATATTTACTGTACGCTGGCATTCATTCACTTTCAAATCAATATCTAATGTGAAAGCATAAAGACTGGAATATTGAAAATCGAAATCTGTGCACTGTACCTTTTTTATTTATTTTTTTATTTTGTTCATATCCAAACAACCTATAGCAAAAGGTGATATGTAAAGCGTATACAATGGAGACAAAAATGTGATATGATTGTTGTTATTATATTTATTTCCTTTATTTTTTTCTGCAGCCACCACTGGGTTTGTCTTTCATGGACATGGAAATCAAAATATAAGCTGTGTACTAAAGTTATATGTAGATTGCTGTCAACTTCTAGGCCTCAGAACCACCTAGATGATGCACTACCAAGCATTTAAATGGGAATTCCACTAATTCACCAAAATTCCTGCATTATTTAGTGGCTGAGATGTAAACAGTCATTTGTGTCTTTACAGTGGTGGTGAAACCAGATGTTAGGAGTTTTATATGTAACATTTATAATGTAAAATGGTGGTAAATCTGAAAAAGTATGTTTTCTTTGAGCACTAACACCGTGCATGTATCCTTCTACCATGAAAGGATATTAAAATACATTTTAGGCCAAAACCTTATTCAAATGATTATAAACCAGTGTCTTGTATTTGCAGTCATTTCATGTAGTAACTTTCTGTGAGGGAGCTTTTAGAGGTGGACGTCTGGTTCCTATCACCACCACTGTGAACAGTTCTGACTCTGTAAGTTTATCTAGAACGGAGCGTTTCACACCAAACCACTCTGAATGAATCTTTACCCTTTGATTACACAGAAATTTTGAAAAATTTCAGGAATTCCCCTTTAGTCTGCATCTGTACAAAGCAGCCCCTTTCTTGTCACGAATCGTGCACAGAGGCACGACGAGGCTGGGCATTGCGCTGTCAGTCAAGCCTTTTTCTGGCCACCGATTAGATTCGCTCCATCCAATTCCACGGTGCAATTACAGCGAGACTTTCATGTGGTGGCTGGAAACAAGATCACTTTTAACCTCACTGTCTTCTTCAAATACGCTTACAGTCGTGCTGTTGCAGATATAGAATATTTCAGTTTGGTGTAGGTAGAGTTATATGCAGTCCAGAGACCACCCTTTATTTAATTTCCAGTCAAAGCAGCCATTAAAGTACAAGGTATTCATTTTTTTCTGCATCAGGAAAAAAGCTGAAAGCATAGTTAATAGAAATTACATCAAAAAACTCTCTCTCTCTCCCTGTGTGTGTGTGTGTGTGTGTGTGTGTGTGTGTGTGTGTGTGTGTCAGTATTTATTGTGCCTACTCTTTCCCTTTATTCCAGCTTCCATTCTTTTCAGGAGACTCACTTTCAGTTCCTCAAAGAATCTGCAGACACACCTCCAAAGTTCAGTCTTAGAAATTAAAAGTTAGGGTTAGGATTACGACAAATTTAGGACCATAATTAGGGTTGGGATTAGGTTTGGGGTTGAGGTTGAGATTAAAGTTAGAGTTGGATTAGTTTTGGGGTTGAGGTTGAGATTAAAGTTAGGGTTGGGATTAGGTTTTGGGTTGAGGTTGAGATTAAAGTTAGGGTTGGATTAGGTTTTGGGATCAGGTTGAGTTAAAGTAGGGTTGGGATAGGTTTTGGGTTGAGGTTGAGATTAAAGTTAGGGTTGGGATTAGGTTTTGGGTTGAGGTTGAGATTAAAGTTAGGGTTGGGATCAGGTTTTGGGTTGAGGTTGAGATTAAAGTTAGGGTTGGGATCAGGTTTGGGGTTGAGGTTGAGATTAAAGTTAGGGTTGGGATCAGGTTTTGGGGTTGAGGTTGAGATTAAAGTTAGGGTTGGGATCAGGTTTGGGGTTGAGGTTGAGATTAAAGTTAGGGTTAGGATTAGGACAAAGGTCAAATTCAGGACCACAGTTAGGGTTGAGATTAGGTTTTGGGTTGAGGTTTGAGATTCGGTTGATGTTGATCATTTTCTGAAGTAATCAAACACATTCAGTGGTGTTGAGGTCTGGACTCTGGGGTGGTCAGTCCATCGTTCAGCTTCTTTGTTTGATGTTTCCGTCTCCTTTTCTCAGTGAGGTTCTTCTTGATCAGCTACACATCCTTTCAGACCCACAGCGCTGAGTCGTCTTCTCACAGTGGAAGGATGGATGTGGATGTGCTGTTTATCTAAAGGGGACAGTTTCGGGGGTCCAGTTATTGTCCCATTTTAGTCATTTTATGAACTCTTGTTTGTTCCACTTATTTTCCTTGACTTTCTCCTTCCGTATGTAAGTGAATCGTCTTGTATCTAATCTCCTCAGAAGCATCTCCTGAAAAATGAATAACTTAATGGTCTTTTGACTGGAAACTGAATCAGTGAAGGGTGGTCTCTGACTTCTGCACAGCACTGTATGTGGTACAAACATAGGTGCAGAATTGTGTGCAGGTCCAGTCTCATGTACGCACCTTCTTAGTCTGACATTCTATGTTTTATTTTATGTGGCCTGAATTGTGTGATTGTTAGCATGAGTGAACTCATGTATGTGTATCCATGTACGTCTAGCACCATGTAAGCGTCTTGCCGGGCAAAGAGATGTCAGATCGACGTTATGTCCTCGTCGTTCATGGTGTACATTGGGGTCATTGTGTATCCGAGAGGAACCATTCACAGGAATGGGCCGACAGCCTGTATGGTTTATCTGTGTTTCGATGTTATTTCGACTGTCCATCAGCACTGAAAGATAACTTGTTGGATGAATACATGTCAACATTACCTTCACTAACAGCTACGTCCAATGATGGTCATGTATATGAAGGGTGAGCCTGCCCTGCACATAAGCGCTCATGCTCGTCTGTATGAGTCCAATGCATGTCGGCTACGTGTGTTTTTATGTTGGCTTTGTAGGTAAAGCTTAGGGGAGTGTGTGGTTGGACGATAGTTGTGTGTGCCGCGTGTGTGTATGCGTGTCTGAGAAAGAGGTACGGTGTGATGTGAACCTTCAGAATGGATCTACATTATTCAACATTACTGATTTGACAGGCATCAATAAACATAAGAGAATAGCTGTCTAAATCAATACAACTTCATTTGTCATGCCTTCCTAAGCATCGCAGACCTAAA